CGGTGGAGATTTTCAACGCCACCATCACCATCTTGAACCTCTCATTCCCCTCTACAAAACCCACCCATGAACCACCTTGATTAACCACGGTATGTAGTGGTTTGAGGCCATGAAAGTCGACGAAAATCAATAGTACTCCGACCACCTTTTTCAAATTTTCGGCAAATTGGCAAAGCGATGGCCGATGCTACCACTTGAGCTTTGTAACCCATCATCCCAGGAGAAAATCCCAACCAACCTTGATCCCGTTGGACCACCGTAGACGACGAATCGACGTCGGGAAGTTTTAGGCACCAGCTAGCTTTGTGGGCAAAATTGACCCCCTTCCGTCCACTTTTGGACTTTTGGCAGGTATGAAAGTTGTTCTTCGCTTTGAGATCTTCATTCCTGTAAATTTTGGTATTTTTTGAAAATAGTTGGATTTTCCGGCGAGTTGGGATGGCAGACTGCCACCCGCGGCGGCGCGTGGCCAGTGGGCCACCAATGCAATTTTTTTGGAATGTCTTTAATTTATTCTTGATATTTGAATGACGTAGGTTGATCGTTGGAACCTAAATTCTCTACGATACGTTAATAGGTATTTATGTGAATCGACGATCCAACCGTCGGATCGTCACCAAAATTTGTTACATTGTAGTACATAATATTTGTAGAATGTAGGAACTTACGGATTGGGAATCTGACTTATAGATCTTTCCGAATTGGATTTGGGAATTGGCGAGGATCCAACCGTTGGATCGTAATAAAATTTTATATGTTATTCTAGAAGCATAATGTGGATCTTTGGAAGTTACAGATTGGAAATCTGATATGTTGATCTTCCGAATCGAGTTATACAGGGTTGTAGACCCTACCGTCGATCAAAGATCGGCGGTTGACTTTTGGTCAATGGGTCTCAAATTATTATTAAAGGCCCTTGAGGATATGTTTTATGTAAATTATGTATTATATCAGTAAAAACTTTGAGACGTGATTTGATAATTGGTCACAGGTGACGATAGATCGTGATGTCTAGATGTGCGTGCAAGACAATCATAGCGTGGACTCCAGGTGAGTGAGTCTTTTTCTTTCATAGGCATATAATTGATAGTTCCACAAGCACTTCTAAAGTGATCTATGCCTGTTACCTACAATTAATCATTGCGAACTACGAATGGCTTGATCCCTGTTTAGGGTACGTAGGCAGTCTAATAAGACGTTAGATGCAGCCATATAATAAAAGAGATTAAATAATTGAGACAATAACCTTGTTTAGTGAATTGAGCAATGTGAGGGACATTGGTGGGAAGTGTGAGATTTAGCTTTATGATTTGGTGATTAAATGTTGATCATAAATCAATGCGTGAAGAATCAAGAAATTGAAGTAAGGAAAGGTAAGTAATGATAGTTAATTTAACTAGTGTCTAATTAGGCTTAACACTGATGATTACTCTCAAAAGTAAATAGTTTGGGAGTAGGGTATCATTGATTGTACATGTTACGCTGTATTATGTATTTTGGGAATATCATGAAATGTTTGGGTTTAGATTGCATCATGGCATATTCATATGGATATTACCTGAACCTAACTATTGTGAATGCTTTGAAGTGCTAAATGATGTCGCGGACGCCCAAGTAAGCTTCAGGTGAGTACATGTTGATGATAGTGATTGTAGTGAGTATGATTGTGTTAAGATATATTATAGCTCATAAACCTACACCCCGGTGTTAGTGCTCCCGCCTGTGTCCAGGGCATAGTCCTTCACGTGATGTTCACCTCACGCACATTATGCTCACCTTGGATCCAAGGTAGGTGCACAGCCCTGTCGTACATACCACTTTAGGTGGTTCCGACTCGTAGGTTACCCGCGATTATTCGCATAGTTTTCACGTGATTGTAGCACTTGAGCGTATTTATTTACACCCAGTCTTGTCGTACATACCACTTTAGGTGGTTCCGACTCGTGTGCAGGTATACTTATTGAGCTATTGGCTAACATGATTGATGAGATATGTGATGAGATATGAATAAGTCGCACAGGTCACTATAGGTGACTTCGACTTATATGCTAGCCATGATTGATGAGATATGTGATGAGATATGGATAAGTCATACAAGTCACTATAGGTGACTCTGACTTATATGCTAGCCATGATTGATGAGATATGGATAAGTCGTACAAGTCACAAGAGGTGACTTCGACTTATATGTTAGCCATGATTGATGAGATATGGATAAGTCGTACAAGTTACTATAGGTGACTCCGACTTATATGCTAGCCATGATTGATGAGATATGGATAAGTCGTACAGGTCATTAAAGGTGACTCCGACTTATGTGCTAGCATTGATTGATGAGATATAGGTGCAGTCGTACATGTCACATTAGATGACTCTGATTGATATATCATTTGGTATTGATTAAGTTCATTTGGCCTACTTATTAATGCATGGTGGTGCTGATGGACATGGCAAACCGTGGTTTTGGCCATTTTTGAGTATGGTTTGGATATATGTATATATGTTGTATTGTCTTATGGAAAACGATACGGGTTTTACATTGAGGGGCATTACTCTTAGAAAGGTAATAACTTTGGGAAACTTGGTTTTATTGCTCACTCACACTCTGTTTGGTGCCCTCCAGGTTTTAGCTGCTAAGTTTGTATCGACAAGGATCTATGGCGAATCTTAGAATTGATGGATAGTGTGTGAAATGGGTTCACTCTCGCTCACAACGCACTCTGGTATTTAAAATTTTTAGGTTCAAATTATTCACATTTATCTACAATCTATCACATTTTATGGTTTCGTCACGTTTCAGGTGTCGGCCAGCACAGCTTAATTCAGGGTCCAAGTGGTACTTAAAATTTTTAGGTTCAAATTATTTATATATATCTAACCATTTAAGATGGAATCTGATGTTTAGTGGTACAAGCTTCCACGAAATGCTGAAATGTAACCAAACACGTGTCCATCATTGGGATTTTGACTATAGCCAATCTAGACTGCTGTATATAGGATGAAGGCTTTTACATGACATAGCTTACAAAGAAAAGGATAAAATAAAATAAGACGTGAGCTGCATTTCTCTCTAAGACTTGGAGAGATCCAATTGTTTGTGTTCTAGGAAAAGTCTTTATAGGTTCTTTCCATTATATTAATCATTTCAATCACACGTTGAACACAATATTAACTTGAATATTAAATTAAGCTTCTTAAGCCTTGTTGGATTGGTTTAAGGTTCTGCTATATTTATCATTTCAATCACATGTGAACACAATATTAACTTGAACATTAAGTTTATTTGCTGGATTGGTTTTAAGGACATCTTTCATTCCTTAATTTTATAATTTGAACACCCCATTCCCCTTTGTTTCTTTAAGAAATAGAAAAAGGCAAGTATTTTTGGTCCATCATTTTTCTCCTCTGCACTCATCTTCTTTTTTTATTTTTTTTATTTTTATTTTTTTATTTGCATTTCTCCATTTTCCTAGTCTTACGATTGAGTAAATTAAAGAGTAACTAATGTAGAGGTGAGCTTGAGTTCAAGTGGCTTGAGAAGTTCCAATCTTGGCAGTGAACTGAGCATTTGGGTGTTGGTTCTCAATGACGCGGCCAAGTTGACGGAAAAGTTTGGACTTGTGTTTATAATGAAGAAGAAGAAGTCTTCCACGATGGACCGCACCATTGCTTTTGACTTGTCATCAAAGCTGCTCAAAAGGAAAATAAATAAATAAATTTTTAACATTTTCCCAGCGAAATAGGTGCAGTGCAGGTCGTTGGGCAAATGTACATAATCTCGTTGGGCCACAATTTTAATTTTTTCAGGAAAACATAAAAATTTTGCCTCATTCTTTTTCCAAAAAAATAAAATTTACCTCAGGTAAAAGTGTTAGCTCTACGAAATATTCTAAAATTTCTTCTGTCAAAGGCTATTTCCCACAATTTTTTTGTCAAAAGTAATTTGGGCTATCAAGTTTAAGTGACATTTGCCCAACGAACTTGGTTAGTTTGCCCAACGAAATTTTAGGATTTAGGAACAGGTGTCATAATTTTCGTGTTTCACATTTATAGTTGAGTTTCTTATTTTATTTTATTTTCTTTCTTTAAAAACTCAGGAATGAGAACTATTTTAGTATGATTTAAACTAAATTCAAACATAGGATTTTTTATTTATTTATTTATTTATTTTTTAAGAAGAAACTATATTTCATTAGGAAAACTTTAATCATAAAGGACATCTAAGGACATCAAAGACATTAAAAAATAAACTCAAAAGAAAAGGCTACATATATCACAAAATTTTAGCAACAAAACTCATACAATCCAAAATGACCACAACCATAATTTGATCTATAACTCTAAACCTTTACTGCCACCATAAATTAAAACTGTGTCGTCATAAAACTCATTGCATCTCACCATAAAGAACCAATGGAACAATATTGAGGATTTGTGAAATCGAACGTGGTCTCAAACAATTTAGATGCATAATAACAAACAATAGTCTTGATTTGACTTAGTAGGAGAAACAAAACACAAGAGTAAGCAAAGTGCTTCAAATCTGTAATGCATTAAAAAAAAAAAAAAGAAAAAAAAAGAAAGAGAATAGAGAAAGAATATCATTAGTGGACTTGGCATGGAAGAAAATTAGAAAGGTAGTGACGGGGAACTCAGATCTGAGCATGCCTCAAATTAAATCACCACTAGAAATTACAGAGAGATATCATGCACCATAAGGGAATATTATTCACTTTAAGAAATTTACAAAGGAGATATTGTGCACCATAAGAGAATATTATTGTCATGTGGGACTACAGAATAAAATCAAAGTTCATAAACAGTAAAGTACCTTAAAATACATCTTTCCACCTGTCGTTAGGTGATTTGCTTCACAAAAAGTCATCGACCATCTAGAACTAGAAGTCAATAATTCCACCTTCGGCAAAGAACGCGTTTGGCGTCTGCAATAAATTAATTCCTGGACAAACTCCAAACATTATATATAGCACCTACTTTTCCATCATCTCCACAAACAACTCCCCTCCACTTCCAAGTTTCATCGTTGGAAAAATACATCACAAATTAAGAGAATTTTCTTTTCACTTGTATCACTAAGAGAAGAACATGGCCGAGAAGAACCAACAGGTTTATCCTTTGGCACCAGCAAATGGTTACACAAGAAGCGATGCAGAGTCTTTGGAAACCGCTGATGAGCTGAAGCGCAAGAAGAGAATCAAATTGGCCATTTATATTGGCATTTTCATTGTGTTTCAGATCATGGTCATAACCGCGATGAGTTTCACTGTCATGAAAGTAAAAACCCCAAAGGTTCGGCTAGGCAACATCAACGTGCAAGACCTCAACTCCGTCCCAGCAACACCTTCATTCGACACTAAATTCACAACACAAATCAGAGTCAAAAACACAAATTTTGGTCCATACAAGTATGATGCAGGCATTGTCACGTTTTTGTACCAAGGCGCGACTGTTGGGCAAGTTTCTATTCCCAAGAGCAAGGCTGGAATGTTTTCCACCAAAAAAATCAATGTCGAGGTGAACTTGAGTTCAAGTGCATTGAGCGGTACCAACCTTGGCAGTGAAATGAGCAACGGGGTGTTGACTCTCAACAGCGCAGCTAAGTTAACAGGAAAAGTTGAATTGATGCTTATAATGAAGAAGAAGAAGTCTTCCACCATGGACTGCACCATGGCGTTTGATTTGTCATCCAAGACGCTCAAAAGTTTGCAGTGCAAGTGATTACCTGCGACATCAATACTTGTACTTGATTTGTTAATTTTTTAATTCGTTCTCTTTGTTACTTGCATTTTGTTGGAGAACTATATATTAGATTTCTCTATAATTTTAAGCCAATGAGGCCCCGGGCCTGATTTGTTATTTCTTTTTCGTTATTTTATAGGATTGGATATAGAAATGGTCGCTTATTTTCTCTAACATCTTTAGTAATCGCAAAATTTTAAGCCTAATGAGGCCCCGGCCTACTTATCATCAAATGGAATCCATCACAGAATTTCATAGAATTTTGAGAGTGATGTACCATTGTAGACATCGAAATTTCAGTGAAATAAATGTTAACCAATACAACACTTATTTCACCTATATCATTCCCTCACTTCACCAATAACCTCCACTCATTTCACCTACATCATCCATTTACCTTACTTACAACCTCCACTCATTTCACCTACATCATCCATTTACCTTACCTACAACCTCCACTCATTTCACCTACAACCTCCACTCACTTCACCTACATCATCCACTCACTTCACCAAAAAAAAATGGATGGTGGTGATTCGCTCTCAAAGCCTATAAATAGGCTTCTCCATCAAGAGGAATAGACAGACACCAAAGACCAATTCACAAATACATTTCTCTACTCCCAAAATGGAAGAGAATACTCCCCACACATCCAAAATCCTTGAAGCTTTGAAACTCTAAAGCTCTCAAGCATCCAACCCCCAAATTCCCAAGAATCCCGAAGAATGGAGAAAGCACTCTTCATTCTTCGTCAAATTCTCCTTCAAGATCAAGCCCCGACGGCCCTTGAAGAAAGTGTTCATCGTTCATCCTAAGATCAAGCCCCAACGGCCCTTTGGATCAACAGCACAAACAAATCCACACATCTATTCTTCAAGATCAAGCCCACAAAAGCCCTTGAAGATCCTTGAAGATCCATTCATCAACTGTTCATCCTTAGATCAAGCCCTGACGGCCCCTTGGATCAACAAACAAATCCACACATCTATTCTTCAAGATCAAGCCCAAAAGCCCTTGAAGAAAACCAACTGTTCATTCAAGATCAAGCCTCGATGACCCTTGAAGAAAACCAACCGTTCTTCAAGATCAAGCCCAAAAGCCCTTGAAGATGCGCTCATCCATCAACATTCAAGATCAAGCCCTGAAGGCCCTTGAAGAAACTTCCATCAACCTTCAAGATCAAAGCCACGAAGGCCCTTGAAGAAACTTACAACTGTTAATCCAAGATCAAGCCTCAACGGCCCTTGGATCAACAAATCTACATCTTACGGAGATCGAATCAGAGGACCAAATTTAAGAGATCGTAACCCCAAAATCATCAAACCAAAAAATATTATTTTGTACACGTATTCTTGTTTCTTGTTTTTTCAGGAATTTTCCGTGTTCACAAATTTGGCACACCCAGTGGGACATCTCTACCTCTCATCTCTGTCTCTGTTCAAGATATTCACGCACATTCCATGGTTTCAAACAAAGAACAAGTCATGACCATCTGCGCTACCTCCATTGAAAAACAGCTGGTTCAAATGAAGGTAACAATTACAAGGCTGATAAAGACTGTGGAGGAGAAAAACTTGCAAACCACCGGACTCATCAACCGTCTAGAGGCGAAACATGGCGTTAAAGTGAAACCAAGCTCTCTTCCAACTAAGAAGACTAAAGAAGGCTTCAACCCAAATGCCTACGAACTCATGTCAAAGGCTAGGCATGACTTTGCTTCCTCTTCAAATCTTGGAAAGAAGGTTTCAAACACCGTCAACGACAAAGATCGTGACCTTATCGAGACTTAAAAGAAGTTGAAGGAGCATGATTACGGAGTTGACAACAACAAAGCTGGACTTGGCTTCACACTAAATGCACCCGTGAAGATTTCAAGCAAAGCGAAAAACACTAGCGCTCAACACATCAGCGTGAGCATTGAACAAAATCAAGAGGAGCCTAAACCTCTTATTCGAGTATCAGTCTTCGATAGGATGAGCCATTCAAGCTCCAAAATTTCAGTGCTTAATCGCATTGGTAGTCAAGACCGAACCTCTGTCTTCAAGAGGCTTAACGCGCCAACATCCCAAAGCTCTGTTTTTGAAAGGTTGTTAAAGCCTAAGAAACAAAGCAACGCAGCTATCTCTCCTCTACGACGATCAGCTTCGGAAAGATTTGAAGATAATGAGAAGCCTTTTGGAAAGAGGAAGACAACACCAAAGGAAGAAAAGTTCGATGGGTTAGCAGAAAAAGGCGACGTTCGAAGCTTGATTCCTTCAAGGATGAAGCGCCAAGCAATCCTAGAGGTCGACAAAAAAGGACCACTGAAGGTAAGGAGGCGCATCATCGTCCACACTGGCAAATCTTCATGCCAACAAACCCAAGAGGACGACACTGAAGATGAAAGCCCTAAGAAAGATGTCACTTTTGGCTCTTTCGACTCAAAGTCTTCACCTCGACTATTGGGGGCATGCTCCAAGTCAAGTGAAATTGAAGAATGGACTCATGTCACTCCGAAGAAACTGCACGAGAAACATATGTCTTCTCCACAAGTGCACCAATCAGAAATGAGGGAAAGCAGCTTTCGCCAACCTCCAAAGCAATGTGAAAATGTTGAAGATAAGAAAATTTCAACACAAAGATCGTTCGTGCGGGATCTTTTCTTCCTTGAAGACTTATTCAATTTCTCGATCAAGGCTCCTTGCTATGAAGATTGTGAGGAATGCCTTTCGAAGATCGCTTCGAAGAAATTGGACAAGCAGCAACCATCTTGTCCACAAGTTTAGCAGTCGAAAAGGGGGCAAAACAGCTCTTGTCAACCTCCAGAACAATGTGAAAGTGTTGGAGATAATGAAATTTTGACACAAAGATCGTCCATCCCCATCACAATGTGCAACCTCTTCCCAGAAGACTTCTTCAATTACTCGGTCAAGGCTCCTTCCTATGAAGATTGCGAGGAACGCTTCTCCCAGATCGCTTGACAAATCCACAACAACAACCAAAGCTCCTCGTTCGCACGAGCCTAAAAGGTGACAACCACGCTCCTTGCCTGCACGAGCTGAAACTGCAAACGGCACCAAACGCTCCTTGCCTGCACGAGTTGAAACTGCAAATGGCACAAAACGCTCCTGGCCCGCAAGAGCATAAACTGTGTACAGCAAAATCATCATCAAAATCACCAAAAAAACAAAAAAAAAAAAAAGGGCAAAGAGAAAGAGAGTAATCAGCCGGCACTTGGAGTCAGTCTTCCGATCTGGAACCGACTACCTGGAATCTATTCCCTGGTTGCTTACCTAGCATTGCTCTCGAGTAGTCATCTTCAACGGTTGATACACTTCCAGAGAAGGGACCACATCTGCTTGGAGAACAGCTAAGACGAGTGACAATGAAACATCAATCTTGTGGATCGTCAGCAAACGCAACAACTGCATATGCTGAGTCATCCTCTAACCCTCTTCAATATGAATTGGAAAGATTGAACAAAGAAACAGGTCATCACCTCCACCTCGTGCTTGCCTGCCATGTGTCTGAATCCTAAAACCGTTCATGGTCCTATTTTCACTCAAGATCAAGCCTCGATAGCCCTTGAAGAAATCATAAGTCCGATTCAAAATCAAGTGTTCACCACCCTTGAATCAAATTCAACTCCAGATAAAAGGAGTAAGTTCAGACCTTCGGGGGAGACCAAAAGAATCCTCCAGCCCAGTTCAAGATTAAGCCTGTGGAAAATCAACGATTGGAGGAAACCAGAAAATCTTCCAGTCGAACTCAAGATCAAGCCTCGATGGCCCTTGAAGAAATTTCCAGCCCAATTCAAGATCAAGCCTCGACGGCCCTTGGGTTGACATTTACATTAAGGGACTTCAAAACGCATCTTCTACATGTGACAAGCACATGTCTACGACGCGCCTTGAAGTGGGGGCATTTGTAGACATCGAAATTTCAGTGAAATAAATGTTAACCAATACAACACTTATTTCACCTATATCATTCCCTCACTTCACCAACAACCTCCACTCATTTCACCTACATCATCCATTTACCTTACCTACAACCTCCACTCATTTCACCTACATCATCCACTTACTTCACCTACAACCTCCACTCACTTCACCTACAACCTCCACTCACTTCACCAAAAAAAAATGGATGGTGGTGATTCACTCTCAAAGCCTATAAATAGGCTTCTCCATCAAGAGGAATAGACAGACACCAAAGACCAATTCACATATACATTTCTCTACTCCCAAAATGGAAGAGAATACTCCCCACACATCCAAAATCCTTGAAGCTTTGAAACTCTAAAGCTCTCAAGCATCCAACCCCCAAATTCCCAAGAATCCCGAAGAATGGAGAAAGCACTCTTCATTCTTCGTCAAATCCTCCTTCAAGATCAAGCCCCGATGACCCTTGAAGAAAGTGTTCATCGTTCATCCTAAGATCAAGCCCTAACGGCCCTTTGGATCAACAGCATAAACAAATCCACACATCTATTCTTCAAGATCAAGCCCACAAAAGCCCTTGAAGATCCTTGAAGATCCATTCATCAACTGTTCATCCTTAGATCAAGCCCCGACGGCCCCTTGGATCAACAAACAAATCCACACATCTATTCTTCAAGATCAAGCCCAAAAGCCCTTGAAGAAAACCAACTGTTCATTCAAGATCAAGCCTCGACGGCCCTTGAAGAAAACCAACCGTTCTTCAAGATCAAGCCCAAAAGCCCTTGAAGATGCGCTCATCCATCAACATTCAAGATCAAGCCCTGAAGGCCCTTGAAGAAACTTCCATCAACCTTCAAGATCAAAGCCACGAAGGCCCTTGAAGAAACTTACAACTGTTCATCCAAGATCAAGCCTCGACGGCCCTTGGATCAACAAATCTACATCTTACGGAGATCGAATCAGATGACCAAATTTAAGAGATCGTAACCCCAAAATCATCAAACCAAAAAATATTATTTTGTACACGTATTCTTGTTTCTTGTTTCTTGTTTTTTCAGGAATTTTCCGTGTTCACAACCATCACATTTGATTTGTCATCAACGGCAGTCCAGATTACGTTTAGAATGCAAGTGGAACCACACTTGATATTTCTTTAACCTTCAAATCCTAAATAGTATGCTAGCCCATTTGGTG